CTCCCTGCAGCGTTCGGCTCTCACTTGCTGCTCAGCGCGGCAGCCTTCTCTGGGCAGCAGCCATCCTTCCGAACCTGCAGACCCCAGCTCTCCCCGGAGCCTGTGCCCTCCCTCCCTCCCTGACTGCCCTCCATGGAGGTGGTAGTTGCTTGCCCAGTCTCTGTCCTTTCTGTTTTCGTTAGGACGGTGGTCCCCGTTTGCTCTGAACCACCATGAGCCCAACTAAATGACTTTCCCAGCGCCCTGTGCAGCTGGGGGCTGATGAGAAGAAACGCAGAAGTTGGGGTGAAGCGCCCGCAACGTCCCCTTAAAAAGGAGACAGACGGCTACTCTCTATCCCTGCAGCCACCATCCTAATCAAAGCCAGTGGCGTTGATGACAACGGCTTTCCAACTGGTGTCCTGCTGGCCCGTTCTCCTCAAAGCTGCCAGAGGGACCCTTCCGAGGCAGAAACACCTGACCCTGTCATTGCCCGGCTCAAGCACCTGCTGTGGCTCCCCGCTACCCAGGAAGAAGTTCAAACTCTGCATTGAGCCAACAAGCCCTCCTTGCCCACTGCATACCTCTCAGCTCACTGCCCATCCCCTCTCCCTCCCTCTGGGCCCTAGTCCAACACTGTCCCATAGAAAAAAATTCAAGCCATGTGTATCATTTAAAAGTTTCTAATGTTCACCTTCAAAAAGAAAAGGAACAGGCCAGATTATTTTAATAATATCTCCAACGCAGCATAACCAAAATATCACCGTTCAACATGTAAGCAACATAAATTTAACTCATGGGCTGATGCACCTTCGTTTTTTCCTGCTACGCCTGCGCCATCTGGCGTGTGTGTCTCCTCTCACGGCACATTTTAACTTTAGATTTCACGAAATGTACAGTTGGAAAAAATAGATGCACATACCCGCCTTGTTCCAAATATGATTAAAAGTCTTCCCATGACTGAATGGAAGGTCTGGTTTTCAATTTTAACTGAAATGGAATAAATTTGAGATTCGGTTCCTCG